ACTTTTTTGTGATAAAGATAAATAATAATTATTATGTATTTTTTTATTATTTAAATAAAATTTTTGAGGAGGCCAATGGAGTGAAAAGTCTTATAATTACTCTATAAAACTAAATTAATGGATTTGACCAATCTTAGTGACTTTTGTTAACTCATTTGACCATTATAATGGAATTTTCCACTATGGTAATTTTGACTATGATATTGAGATATTATGGTAATTATTACTAGACTATGGTAATTTTGACTATGGTATCAATGTATTCTAGTAATTATGACTAGACTGCATTTCACTTTTATGCGCGTGTAACGGTGTTCCCTATGGGCGTAACTTTTTAAATGGGACAGCTTTGAACTTATGAAGACAATTGATGCCACCAAGATTAGCAACTAATTACCTAAATTAGGGATTAGGATGATATTGCATAATACCTTGATTACACATTTAATGGTTATTAGAACCATCTTTTGACTGGTGCCCTGATTTTAACCATAATTACACTCATTAACTTCTAAAGCTCATGAAATTGGCCAATTAATATCAATCATGTAGGATCATTTTATACATTTGTTCGGCACTGCAAACATCTAGATAGGAGTTTTATATAAGAAAAAAGTATACAATGAGACTATTTATCTTTAGTACAAAGTGGTTACAATTAATTTTAACTATTAGATGTAAAATTGAGTAGCTACATTTGTACCATTAATCAAGCTCAAAGTTCAAAAAAACGTTTCTCAAACTTTGTGACACATATAAGCTATCATATTTCACATCGAATGATTCTAAGTAATTGTGACCTCTTTGTACCAAAAGTAAACGGTCTCATTGTATACAATGATAAATTACTCCATAGTATGAGTACCCTAACATAACCTATATATATATATATATGGGAAAAGTTTATAGAGAGCCCAGGCTCTAAACAATCAAATAAGAGTCTACCTCAAAAATTTCACTAGAAGATGTTGTTTTGATGCTCAAATATCCTCAAATTGATAATCTTGATATCAAC